AGAGTGAGAAAACGTATATTTGCCTCACTTCAATTTATTGCACTAGTTCAGTAGTTACAAAGAAAAGATCTTTAAATTGTATCGTGTAGAGATTTTCCCTGGTACCAACATTATCCCCTCCACTTTTCGGGAAACTGTCGCCTAACCGTCTGCATTTGTTCCTTGTGAACTCCTAAACCCTTTGACAGATCTAAACCAAATTTTGCACACTTGCTCTCTAAGATTCTACAGGAAATACAGGCTACATGAAACTTGGACATTCCTTACTCCGGACATATTTTTCTTACTTGACTTGTCTCAAGTGAGAGATAGATTTGAATTCAAAGTTAGACGAAAGTTTTTCTATCAAATCGCGATTACAGATATAAAAATATATATTCGGTTTGTTTGCGTCGCTTGTACTTTTAACACTTTCGCACCAAATGCCCATTGCATACCAGGCGCGATGAGCGAGATCCAATAAGAGTTCTTTTTTCTAAAGAGAGGTCCAAGGTACAATAGGCACTAGGTGTAAAAGGTCCAAAAGAAACTTGGACATTCTCTGCCACTTTCCTCGATCTCATCACCTTGACACTTCGTGATAATTTAGACGTTCTAGATATAAAAGAAACCCAGACAATGTCAAGTAGTTTAAGCTAGTCGATGACAAAGAATCCCTGGAGAATCTCGTTCGCGTATCGCGACTCGCATCCTCTGCAGAACGCGGCGTGCGAATAATGCGAGCTCCAGCTAGTGACTCATCGTGGCTCTTAGCGTGCTGCATAGAGGCGTATACGTTTAGGGCCTCGAAGCCTCATAATTGCATAGGTACACGACGTTTCGCCTGCCCTTTGTTCGCCGTCCTTCATGCGCTTGGTCACCTTCGTTTTCTCTCTCTCTCTCTCTCTCTCCCCTCCTATCTTTCTCCCCCTTCCCCTTTCGTTTCTCTATCGTATCTCTTCTTCTTTGTCCACGACGGCGAGAACCCATCGCTGCTGCACGCCGTGTGCAGCAGGAAAGGCTTCCACGTACACGCGTACGTACACGCGGGGAGGGGGAAGAGGGACCGGGAAAATAACGCCGGCAATTTGCGGCGCGACATTCGCCCGTTCGCGGAATTCCGCGATCTCGTAGTTAAGCGGCTTACTCGTTCGTAACTCCCAAGCCGGGTTACGAAAACGGGCGTTCGTTCGTTCGTTCGTTCTTCGCGAGTTGACTATACGACTGTCATTGCAGCTACACGCTTGTATTTTATTTCTTCTCTTCGCGAAATGTTCGACGTTAATAACGCGGATTGCACTTTGTCGTAAAAAAAATTTCTTTAATTCAATTTATTCGAATTTACATTGTCGGAAATAGCACGTCGATTCTTTCTTTTTTGTTATTTTTTTGTACTTCTATTTTGTTCTTGCCTCGCGATATCTTCGACGATAGCAATGTAGGTTGCTGCACCGTCTATTTTATGTGTTTGAAAAAAACTGTCCTTAATTCAATTTATTTTCAAATCTACGCTGCTGAAAATAGTACCTCGATTTTTCTTTTTTTTGTTCTTTTTATACACCTACTTATACTTTATTCTTGCCTCGCATGGTTTTCGGCAACAGAGTAGATTGCACCATCTGTCCCGTATGTCCCTAAGAAAAATTGTTTTCAATTCAATTAATTCGAATTTTTTTACGACGTTGAGGATGAATATTTTTTTTCTTTTTTTCTTACGTACCTACTCGTATTTTATATTTGCCTCGTGAAACCTTTTCTCTTGGCTACAATAATGCAGATTGCACCGTTTCGATAGACACGATCGTTTGTGCAATATCCACGGACGAGTCCGCTGCAATAATTGACAATGAAATTAAATTTTATATTGCTTAATAATCTCTTAATGTCCGTGAGACATGCCACATCATCGCCGGCATGATTCGGCGATACGGAGCGATCTGTTGCGTGGAGAGAGAGAGAGAGAGAGAGAGAGAGAGAGAGAGAGA